GTGTGTGTGTGTGTGTGTGTGTGTGTGTGCGTGTGTGTGTGTGTGTGTGGTGTGTGTGTGTGGTTGTGTGTGTGTGTGTGTGTGTGTGTGTGGTGTGTGTGTGTGGTGTGTGTGGTGTGTGTGTGTGTGTGTTGGTGTGTGTGTGTGTGTGTGTGTGTGTGTGTGTGTATGTTTGTGTGTGGTTGTGTGTGTGTGGTGTGTGTGTGGTGTGTGTGGTGTGGTGTGTGTGAGTGTGTGTGTGTGTGTGTGTGTGTGTGTGTGTGTGTGTGTGTGTGTGTGTGTGTGTGTGTGTGTGTGTGTGAGGTTGAAGCAGGGTAGTTCATTATATTGGCTACGTACATGATGTAATGTTGCTATATATGATGAAGGCTCTGCGTGCCTCACGCTTCTCTCTCACTCCAGGTTATAGTGTAGACCAACACGCTATGCCCATGTTATGGCTTGAATGTAGGAGCTGGTATGTGCACTCACCTAACTGTGCTCACCTAGATGTACTCACCTAGCTGTATCCACTTAGTAGTACCCACCTAGTAGTACCCACCTAGCAATACTCACCTAGTAGTACCCATATAGCAGTACTCACCTAGTAATATCCACCTATCTGGTCTCACCTAACCATACTCACTTACCTATACCTATACCTGTACTCATCTAGCTGTGGCTGTAATAGTTATTTACAGTCTCTGACACAGTCTCCTAGCCTCTTGGTTCCGTATCATACCAAATAAAGACCACTTAATCCTCCTCCTCCACTTCCTCATCCAGATTATGCCACTTCCTAGCCACCCTGAGATTAAAAGAAAATCTGACTTTTCTATTTCACATATCGTTTTTACCACCAATGTCCCCCGTGTCCATTGTCCTTTATTTTAAAATGGTCTGTCCTTGTCTACCCTTTAAGCATTCTTGAGGAACCTGAACCAGTAACACAATATATATATGATAAGTATAAAACAGTCCACCTTCCATGTTGACCAATGCGTGTTGGCGAATATTACTCGGGTACATGCCTTACATTTCACGATACGTCTCGCCTCTCTTAAGCCGACAGGTTTTGCTCGTAAATCTTTGAGATGTTTGTCTTGGGAGAATAAGAAGAATGTAAAGTAAGAGATATGAGCCACTGACAAGAAAATTACGCAACACTTACACCAACATGAGTTCTGTGGCCACCCTCGGGAAAATAAACAAGACGACTGTACAATACTTTCATATTCTTAATGTGGAGACGTTTCGCCAACTAGTGGCTTTTATACGTTCATTACAGAGAATAATACTGGAGACGGTGGAAGACGTTAAGAATTAGTATGAGGTTATTCGTCCCTCAGTCTTGAAAAAAGATGTTCAGTGCATCAGACCTGATGAATCCCACAGGAAGGTTCGGTCCACCCTGTACTCAACCTACCGGTACTTGTCACTGGTCATCGGAAGATATCCTGGACCAGCACCGTAAACCGCACCACAAACTGATGAATAAGACTCACAGTATATCTATTGATGAAACGTTTTGCCAGAAGCCGGCCATCTTCAGTCAGATGCAGGCGAATATAACACAGGAAACTGAGGAAGTGAATCTGAGGTGATCAGTCAACTTGCTGATTTTGTTTTCTATCAATAGTATGGACCACAAACACTTGGCTGGACCACAAACTCTTGAATGACACAGAAACTAGAGCTGTTGTATAAACTCTTGATCTGGAGGCAAATTGTTGACTGTATCAGTGAGTGCAACACTGTTTACTGGAGGAAGAAAGTATGGAGTAAACAAATGTGTTTGTTCATGTATTTGGAAGTGCTCTGATACATTTGTGGAGTCAAAGAACCTTATCCGTGGAAGCAAAAAAAGGGAAATATATCAGAGTATATTGATGCCAACAATTTTATATGGGTGTGAAGCATGGGTTTTAAACGTTTCGACAAGGAGGCTAAAAACAGTGGAGATTTCATGTTTTAGGCCGATGTGTAGTGTAAATATTATGCAGAGAATTTATACCTTGGAGATTAAAAGAAGGTGTACAGCTACCTAACGTGTGATTCAGAGCCTGCTGAGGTAGTGTAGACATTTAGAGAGAATGGAGCAAAATAGAATGACTAGGGGTATATAAATCTGGGGTAGAGCGGAGGAGAGGTAGAGGTCGTCTCAGAAAGTGTTTGAGGGCGACACTAAAGGAGGCATAGGGTGCTAGGGACTTGAATATCCAACAGTCTTGTGTGAGCGCATTAGTGCGGAGTGTGGGTAAGTAGCTTCTATGACTTGAAACGCTGTTGGAGTGTTAGCAGTGTAACATTTATGAAGAGATTCACAAAAACCAGTTAGCCAGACTTGATTCTTGGAGTTGGGAGATACAGTGCCTGAACTCTGATGAAAGGGTGAGGATGTTGCAGTTCGGAGGGCCAGGCGAACTGTGATGTTAGAACGCCTCTGGCGAGACAGCGATTAAATGAATAATGGTGAATGTGTTTCCACTTTTTTGGGTCACCCTACATAGGTGGTAGACGGTCCGGTGTGTTAAGAAAAGGGTTTTTACAGGCTTTGGCTACCTACATCAACTTATTTAAAAAATTTCCTTAGCATTATTTTGATTATTATGAAACAGAAACAAGGGCCAGTGTGACGCCGGGGTCCTCTGTCTCTCTCTCTCTCTCTCTCTCTCTCTCTCTCTCTCTTTTTCACAGGGTTTGACAAGGTTAAGGATCCCTAGCTTTATTGACAGGATATTTACAGGTTAAGGATTCCTAACTTTATTGGCAAGCTAAGAGCTGTTACCTACATCATCTCATTTGAAAGCATTTTTATTGTTATGAGACATACAAGTAGGGAACAGGATGAAGTTGGAGCCATCTGTGGGCCAGCATTTTCATGTGATCAACTGACTTTATCTCATTGACATCATTATGCTGTACGAATGTGTTCCATACTCGAGTCATCCTGGGTATATATGATCTCAGATGGAGTGATGTTCTGGAGAAGGGTACAGCCAGAGTGAAGTTGCTGCTTTCTGCCCGTCTTGTGGCATAAAAGCTTGTTTCACGCTGTCCTCGAAGTGGATCCAAGTGTGGTACTTTGACAATATTGGCCTTGTACATAACAGTAAGGCCACCCACATCCCTCCTATGTTGAAGGCTCTGCTGAAATGACAGATCTATCCAGGATGGGTCCAGGCGAGAGATGAGACGTCTTGCTCTGTTCTCTACTCTGTCAAGCAGTCGCAGATGAGAGGAGGGGGGCAGGCAAACCAAGAAAGTGGAGCATACTCAAGGTGTGAGCGTACTTGTGCCACGTACAGAATCTTGCAACCCCTACTGTCAAGCAGATGCGAGATACGGCGAAGTGCTGTAAGCTTCCTGGCTGCCTTGTTTGCAAGATTTACAACGTGGTTCTTCATGGTTAGTTTGGAGTCAAACTTCACCCCAAGGATATCAACTTCTTCTCCAGGTGCCAACACCCTCCCATTCATCCTTACTACTGCACCAGCATTACCATCATGGTGCCTAGAGACGATCATCATTTGCGTTTTCTCAGGTGCAAATGTTACTTGTCATCTATTTCCCCAAGCTGATATAGCTCTCAGCTGGTGATTGATGTAGCTTAGAGCAGCTGGCATTTCTTCTCTTGGATAAGTGAATGTCAGTGTACAGTCGTTCTGCATATGCATGTGATTCTGGGATGAGATGAAGAAGGTCGTTGAAGTAGACATTCCATAACAATGGTCCCAGTACGCTTCCTTGTGGAACACTTGCCCCAATAGGATGTCTTGCTGATTCCGTTCCATTGAGAACTACACTTAGAGATCTACCATGAAGGTAATCACTGAGGAGACATAACGTAGAGCCTGCAATTCCCAGTGCTTGAAGTTTTTGCTAAGAGGCCCTGGTGCCACAACCCGGTCGAAAGCGCCAGCAATGTCCAGTGCTACCACACAGCTGACTTTGGATTCATCCAGTGACTGATCCTACTTAATGGAGAGGTTTAACAACAGATCAGCATCAGAGTAACCTTTCCTGAAGCCATATTGACGATCACAAAGTAGTGAGTGGTAGTCAAAAAACTCTGTCATTTGTCTTGAGATTATTGTCTCAAGGATCTTACCAGTGATTGACAGGAGTGACACTGGTCTGTAGGTGCTGATTTCTGCTCTGCTCTTCTTTTTGTGAACAGGGACTACATTTGCCTCTTTCCATAGAGAGGGCCATTTACACTGTACTAGGCAGTGCTGAAAGATGCGAGTTAGAGGTGCTGCTCTCTCTCTCTCTCTCTCTCTCTCTCTCTCTCTCTCTCTCTCTCTCTCTCTCTCCTCTCTCTCTTCTCTCTCTCTCTCTCTCTCTCTCTCTCTCTCTCTCTCTCTCAACTCAGTTTTGTATACATATTGGTGCTATTTTCTTATTCTCTCTCTTCGTTGAATGTTAATCCTACCACTTGCTGTAACTCCCCCATCATTCACCGTTTCTCTACTACTCATTCTTACCATTCCACTTCTGCTCCTCTTTCCTCCCCTTCCACTTCTTCACCTCTCATAATGCAAATCCTTAATCATCACGTAACTTCCATCATTTCATCTCTATTATCTCTTCATTCCTCCTTTGTAACTCTCTCTCTGAAGTCCATCATGGAGCCTGAAGTTGTAATCTACAGAAAATTATATGATACATTGTGTGATTATAAACATACACACCTGGGGAATGAGATGTCTAACTTTAGGAATGAGGTGTCTAACTTGAGGAATGACGTGTCTAACTTGAGGAATGACGTGTCTAACTTGAGGAATGAGGTGTCTAACTTTAGGAATGAGGTGTCTAACTTGAGGAATGACGTGTCTAACTTGAGAAATGAGGTGTCTAACTTTAGGAATGAGATGTCTACCTTGAGCAATGAGGTGTATACCCTAAGGAATGACAGAATCATCCACCTCATGAAGTCGGGTGTGGATACCTGAGGAGATTCATATATAAGAAAACAAGAGATAACTTTTTTTTTCGTTTTTGCGGCGTCTCATCCTCAGAGCACAACATGGGGAGTCTGCCGGAGCCGAGAAAGGAGGACGCTGTGGTGGTGGACAAGCCTGGGGCCCACGATAGCTACTCCTGCTATCGTCTTCATGCTGCTGCTGCTGCTGGTAGCAGCTCACCGCCCAGCGGCAGGGATCTGTACGGTGTAGTGAGGGAAGCTTGTGCCCAGCAACACGTCAAGTGGCCTGTAGAGTGCCAGGTGAGTGGCCCCATAGAGTGCCAGTGAGGTAGCTGGTGTATGTAACACACAAACACATTATAATTCTTCTTCTTCTTCTTCTTCTTCTTCTTCTTCTTCTTCTTCTTCTTCTTCTTCTTCTTCTTCTTCTTCTCTTCTTATTATTATTATTAATTATTATTATTGTATAATAATATAATAATAATAATAATAATTTAATAATAATATTATTATTATTATTATTATTATTATTATTATTATTGTATTTTTATAATAATAATAATAATAATAATAATAATAATAATAATAATAATAATAATATTAATAATAATAATTATTATTATTATTATTATTATTATATTACACTTTTATTATTATCTTCATCAACATCATAATGGTAGCGTTGTATAGTGGGAAGGTTGTATGCACAACGCACCTTGTTCGTGTCCACTGGTCGTTGTGTGGCAGTGACCGAGTTAAAAGTAAGGCAGGGTAATATAAACTCACGTCAACTAGACGTAGTATATTGGGTAGAACGGGCTACTCCAGGCAGACCCTGGTGAGGGCGAGCCCAGGGACGAGGGTGAGGGCTGATGCAAGGTCCCGTGGGCTTACACTTAGTACAAGCTGCCTAGTCTAGCCTATGAGAAACAAGCGTAGATTGGGGGGGGGAGTTGAAATTGGGGGTAAAAAGCCCGTGACATTACAATTGTCTATTTGCAGTCGGACCATCTGAGAACTATTTGTTTCAGTGTTATACCACAGTAAGGGGAAAAATTCATGGGTGCTTTGAGAGAGAGAGAGAGAGAGAGAGAGAGAGAGAGAGGTTTGGGTTTACCATTATCAGGACCTTCTTGGAACCATAAACAAAATATACCACGTCAGAAATCATGAGAGAAGAATTATGAGAGAAGAGTCACCTTACACCAATACATAAAGGTGGTGACCCTACAGACTTAAACAACTATAGGCCAATATCAAACTTACCATTGCTATCCAAAATCTTTGAGAAACTCGTGCACAGGAGACTATATTCATTTATAACAGCACAATACATACTCAACCCCTGCCAATTTGGATTTAGGAAAAATAAAAGCACTAATGATGCAATCATAAAAATGCTAGATCTGCTTTACACAGCATTGGAAAATAAGGAATATCCACTAGGAATTTTTATTGACCTAAGAAAAGCTTTTGACACAGTAGACCACGACATCCTACTCCACAAACTTGACCATTACGGTATAAGAGGCCATGCGCTTGCTTATTTCAAATCTTACCTTACTAATAGGTATCAGTATGTTACCATTAAAGACACAGCATCAACAACACGGCCACTTGATACTGGAGTTCCGCAGGGAAGTGTCCTTGGTCCCCTGCTCTTCCTCATATACATCAATGATCTTCCAAACGTATCCCAACACCTGAAGCCCATTCTCTTTGCTGACGACACGACTTATGTCATCTCTCACCCTAATCTTACCACCCTCAACACCATTGTTAACGAGGAGCTGATCAAAATATCGACTTGGATGACAGCCAATAAACTTACGCTTAACACTGACAAAACCTACTATATTATGTTTTAGGTAGCAGAGCAGAGATGCACAAATTAACATTAAGATCGACAACACTCTAATTGCCAGACATAATGAGGGCAAATTCCTAGGCCTATACCTTGACAACAACCTGAATTTCAGCACCCATATCCAACACATAACCAAAAAAATATCCAAAACAGTTGGGATCCTCTCCAAGATACGATACTACGTGCCGCAAAATGCCCTTCTCACACTATACCACTCACTTATTTATCCATACCTCACCTATGCTATTTGCGCTTGGAGATCAACTGCAGCAACACACCTAAAGCCAATAATAACCCAACAAAAAGCTGCAGTAAGAATAATCACTAAATCCCATCCCTGGCAACACACCCCCCCCACTCTTCATAGATCTAAACTTACTCCCTGTTCAGTACATCCACACTTACTACTGTGCAATCTACATCTACAGGACCTTAAACTCCAATATCAACCCTGACCTAAAACGCTTTCTTGATAGTTGTGACAGAACCCACAGGCATAACACCAACACAAAACACCTCTACGACATTCCCCGTGTCCGACTAAACCTTTACAAAAATTCAATGTATGTCAAAGGCCCTAAAATCTGGAACACCCTACCTGAGAACTCTAGAACTGCAGACACATTCATCACCTTCAAAACTACCATTAGAAAACATCTTATCTCCCTGATAAACCCCATCAACTAACTACACGAATACCACCTGGTGGTTCACACTTACACTCACTCACCCATTTGACCATAAACAGAAATATTAATCTCAATCTTAAAATAATGAATCCTATGATACTCCAATACTGAAACTATGTACTGTGCTAAAACAAAAGCATTCTCATTGCTAAACTCACAAACTAGTACTTAGTCACTTAGCCATAATACCAACTTACCTCATAATTTGTAATATTTTAAAATAAAGAATTAAACTAAGTCTGCCCGAAATGCCTAGCCATGCTAGGCGTTCTAGTGGTACACTCTGTAATCATTATTTAACTATATGTAAACCACACAACAACCAAATTCTGTAAATTCAACATTGTAATCTTTATAGAGAATGAACTTTGAATTGAATTGAATTGAATAGGGCGGCGTGATCTAAGTGAAAGATATTCATACAGCCATTAGTGAGAAATATTGTGAGTGAGGAAGACCGTGACTAACTGGTGTGTGTGAGATGTTGGTTGTTATACTGAGGTGGTGGTTATACTGGGGTGGTGGTTGTTATATTGAGGTGGTGGCTCTTATTCTGATGTAGTGGTTGTTATACTGAGGTAGTGGTTGCTATACTGAGGTGGTGGTTGTTATACTGAGATTGTGGGTCTTACACTGAGGTGGTGGTTCTTATACTGAGGTGGTGGTTGTTATTCTGAGGTGGTGGTTGTTATACTTAGGTGGTGGGTGTTACACTGAGGTGGTGGTTGTTACACTGAGGTGGCGGTTGTTATTCTGAGGTGGTGGTTGTTATACTTAGGTGGTGGGTGTTACACTGAGGTGGTGGTTGTTACACTGAGGTGCGGTTGTTATTCTGAGTGGTGGTTGTTATACTGAGGTGGTGGTTGTTATTCTGAGGTGGTGGTTGTTATACTGAGGTGATGGTTGTTATTCTGAGGCGGTGGTTGTTACACTGAGGTGATGGTTGTTATACTGAGGTGGTGGTTATTATTCTGAGGTGGTGGTTGTTACACTGAGGTGGTGGTTGTTACACTGAGGTGGTGGCTGTTACATCGAGTTTGTGGTTATTATACTGAAGTAGTGGTTGTTATACTGAGGTGGTGGTTGTTATACTGAGGTAGTGGTTGTTACACTGAGGTAGTGATTGCTATACTGAAGTGGTGGTTGTTACACCGAGGTGATGGTTGTTACAATGAGATGGTGGTTGTTACACTGAGGTGGTGCTGTTACACCAAGTTTGTGGTTATTATACTGAAGTAGTGGTTGTTATACTGAGGTGGTGGTTGTTATACTGAGGTGGTGGTTATTATTCTGAGGTGGTGGTTGTTACACTGAGGTGGTGGTTGTTACACTGAGGTGGTGGCTGTTACACCGAGTTTGTGGTTATTATACTGAAGTAGTGGTTGTTATACTGAGGTGGTGGTTGTTATACTGAGGTAGTGGTTGTTACACTGAGGTAGTGATTGCTATACTGAAGTGGTGGTTGTTACACCGAGGTGATGTTTGTTACAATGAGATGGTGGTTGTTACACTGAGGTGGTGGTGGTTATACTTAGGTGATAGTTGCTACACGGAGGTGGTGGTTGCTACACTGAGGTGGTGGTTGTTATACTGAGATGGTGGTTGCTATATTGAGGTGGTGGTTGTTACACTGAGGTGGTGGTTGTTATACTGAGGTGGTGGTTGTTATACTGAGGTGGTGGTTCCACTACTGAGGTGGTGGTTCCACTACTGAGGTGGTGGTTGTTACACTGAGATGGTGGTTGTAACACTGAGCTGGTGGTTGTTATACTGAGCTGGTGGTTGTTATACTGAGGTGGTGGTTGTTATACTGAGGTGGTGGTTCCGCTACTGAGGTGGTGGTTGTTACACTGAGATGGTGGTTGTAACACTGAGCTGGTGGTTGTTATACTGAGGTGGCGGTTGTTATGCTGAGCTGGTGGTTGTTATACTGAGGTGGTGGTTACAACACTGGTAAATTTGTTCCATCACTGATAACTCTGTTATGAACAAAGGCAAAAGTAAGCCGTGCACGGAGGATAATTAGCGTGTGGCCCTGACCCAATTAACCTGAAACTTAATTGCTAATGACCTAATAACAGTAATTTTATACACCGACAGATGTGTATGTCTGTGTATATACATCGAGAGATGTTAATCTCTTTGTATATACCCTGAGAGGTGTATATCTCAAAGTCTATACATAACGTGAGAATCTCTTAGTGTATATATTGAGAGGTGTGTATATCTCAGTGTACGTAGGAGGTTCACGTACACCAGCATTACGTGTATACTAGTGTACGTACAGGAGTTAAATATATCACCACTGTCAATACTAGTGTCATCACTATCGTTACCATTATTATTTGCATCATTGTTGAATTGATTTGTAAATGAGTTTTAACCCCTAGTTGCTGCTAGGTTAGACCTAGCAGACATCTCTCTATACTTGAAATGACCCACCTAGCCGACACACCCAGCTGACCCATCCAGCCGACTCACCCAGCTGACCCACCCAGCCGACCCATCCAGCCGACCCATCCAGCCCACCCACCCAGCTGACCCACCCAGCCGACTCACCCAGCTGACCCACCCAGTTGACCCACCCAGCCGACCAACCCAGCTGACCTACCCAGCTGACCTACCCAGCTGACTCACCCAGCTGACTCACTCACCTGAAATAATTACTGTAGCTATTCATCATACAAAACTTGAGGGACAGAGACCTTCATCGATTGTATTTTCTGACTGACGTTTTTGGGTCACAAGGACAAGGCCCTGGGCTATTGTGCTGGTGCACACACACACACACACACACACACACACACACACACACACACACACACACCACAGTATGAGGGCGGTCCAGGCACTGGAGCTCAACCCTGTTTTCTAGCATTTACTGGGAATAAGATAAGATAAGATAAGATTTCGTTCGGATTTTTAACCCCGGAGGGTTAGCCACCCAGGATAACCCAAGAAAGTCAGTGCGTCATCGAGGACTGTCTAACTTAACATAATCCTTAAATAATCCTTTAAAGCAAGGTTACGTCACGGTTAAAAAAAAAAGAAAGCAGTATTAAATATGAACATAATGACATGTACTCTGGCAGGTAATCGAGGACAAGGTCCACCACTTCGAGGACTGGCCCGTGTACCCTGAACCTTTCTACGAGTCCACGGGCACCGAACTCAGGCCTCAACCTGTGGGAGACGAGCTGGGGAGAGTCGTGTACCACTACTACCCTACCAGCTCCGTCAATTATGTGAGTTCCATATTATTATTATTATTATTATTATTATTATTATTATTATTATTATTATTATTATTATTATTACTGGGGAGGCTCGTGTACTACTACTTTCTCTCTCTCTTGCAGTTCTCCAGGTCGTGTGTAGGAGGTAACAAGTACCTGAACGAGGATGTGCGTCCATCCTTGCAGGATGACAGTGACACAACTCTGCAGTTTGAGTCGCGCTTTGAATGTGGAAATCTAGGAAAGGTAAGACTCGCAGTCTGTCTATAATGGTGATCACTTGTCAACACTTGTTGCGAATTCTTTGATAAGGCACCTGGATGCCGCTCTAAGATTACAAAATAACAATGACAGCTTACGTGTGGTACGTTGACTAGGTTATTCAGATGATATGCTAGGTGTAATGTTTACCTCCAGGTCACTCCCAGTCTGTATTCCGTATTTTTGTCTCTCTCAGTCTGTATTCTGCATCTTGTTTTCTCTCGTTTCGTCTACTTTTCATACTATTTCGCTCGTTGGCATTGAAGTCCATCAGACATCTGTCTGATCATTTCTGAGATTGACCCAGGTCCTCTTGAAGCCTTCATCTGTGTGTGTGTGTGTGTGTGTGTGTGTGTGTGTGTGTGTGTGTGTGTGTGTGTGTGTGTGTGTGTGTGTGTGTGTGTGTGTGTGTGTGTGTGTGTCTGTGTGTGTGTGTACTCACACTCTCACCTCGTTGAGGTTGCGGGGGTCGAGTCCGAGCTCCTGGCCCCGCCTCTTCACTGTGTGTGTGTGTGTGTGTACTCACCTAATTGTGGGTCCAGGGGTCGATTCATAGCTCCCGGCTCAGCCTCTTCACTGGTCGCTACTTGGTCCATTCTCTCCCTGTTCTATGAGTTTTATCATACCTCATCTTAAAGCTGTGTATGAACCCTGCCTCCACTACATCACTCTCCAGACTATGTGTGTGTATGTGTTTATAAAGCAACACTACATTCGCTACACCTGTGTCTGTGTCTTGACACAGGTGGTGCAAGTATCAGAATGTTACTATGAACTACACCTGCGAGCCGACATGTACACGTCCCGCCACACCCAGTGGTTCTACTTTGCTGTCTCCAACACCCGCAAGGACATCACCTACAGGTGAGACTCCCGGTAATGGCAGGTAAGACTCCCAGTAATGGCATGTGAGACTCCCAGTAATGGCAGGTGACTCCCAGCAATGGCAGGTGACTCCCAGTAATGGCAGGTGAGACTTCCAGTAATGGCAGGTGAGACTCCCAGTAATGGCAGGTGACTACCAGTAATGTCAGGTGACTGCCAGTAATGGCAGGTGACTCCCAGTAATGTCAGGTGACTCCCAGTAATGGCAGGTGAGACTCCCAGTAAGGCAGGTGACTACCAGTAATGGCAGGTGAGACTTCCAGTAATGGCAGGTGAGACTCCCAGTAAGGCAGGTGACTACCAGTAATGGCAGGTGAGACTTCCAGTAATGGCAGGTGAGACTCCCAGCAATGGCAGGTGACTACCAGTAATGTCAGGTGACTCCCAGTAATGGCAGGTGACTCCCAGTAATGTCAGGTGACTCCCAGTAATGGCAGGTGAGACTCCCAGTAATGTCAGGTGACTCCCAGTAATGTCAGGTGAGACTCCCAGTAATGGCAGGTGACTCCCGTAATGGCAGGTGACCCCCATTTAATGGCAGGTGACTCCCAGTAATGGCAGGTGAGACTCCCAGAAATGTCAGGTGACTCCCATAATGGCAGGTGACTCCCAGTAATGGCAGGTGACTCCCAGTAATGGCAGGTGAGACTCCCAGTAATGTCAGGTGACTCCCAGTAATGGCAGGTGACTCCCAGTAATGGCAGGTGACTCCCAGTAATGGCAGGTGAGACTCCCAGTAATGGCAGGTGACTCCCAGTAATGTCAGGTGACTCCCAGTAATGGCAGGTGAGACTCCCAGTAATGTCAGGTGACTCCCAGTAATGGCAGGTGAGACTCCCAGTAATGTCAGGTGACTCTCAGTAATGGCAGGTGAGACTCCCAGTAATGGCAGGTGACTCCCAGTAATGGCAGGTGACTCCCAGTAATGGCAGGTGACTCCCAGTAATGGCAGGTGACTCCCAGTAATGGCAGGTGACCCCCCAATAATGGCAGGGGGATTTCCCAGTAATGGCAGGTGAGACTCCCAGTAATGGCAGGTGACTCCAAGTAATGGCAGGTGACTGCCAGTAATGGCAGGTGAGACTCCCAGTAATGGCAGGTGACTCCCAGTAATGGCAGGTGACTCCCAGAAAATGGCAGGTGAGACCCCCAGTAATTTTCAGGTGACTCCCAGTAATGGCAGGTGAGACTCCCAGTAATGTCAGGTGACTCCCAGTAATGGCAGGTGAGACTCCCAGTAATGGCAGGTGACTCCCAGTAATGGCAGGTGACTCCCAGTAATGGCAGGTGACTCCCAGTAATGGCAGGTGACTCCCAGTAATGGCAGGTGACTCCCAGTAATGGAAGGTGACTCCCAGTAATGGCAGGTGAGACTCCCAGTAATGGCAGGTGACTCCCAGTAATGGCAGGTGACTCCCAGTAATGGCAGGTGACTCCCAGTAATGGCAGGTGACTCCCAATAATGGCAGGTGACTCCCAGTAATGGCAGGTGACTCTCCCAGTAATGGCAGGTGACTCTCCCAGTAATGGCAGGTGACTCTCCCAGTAATGGCAGGTGACTCTCCCAGTAATGGGAGGTGACTCCCAGTAATGGCAGGTGACTACTAGTAATGGCAGGTGACTCTCCCAGTAATGGCAGGTGACTCCCAGTAATAGCAGGTGACTCTCCCAGTAATGGCAGGTGACTCCCAGTAATGGCAGGTGACTCTCCCAGTAATGGCAGGTGACTCTCCCAGTAATGGCAGGTGACTCCCAGTAATGTCAGGTGACTCCCAGTAATGTCAGGTGACTCCCAGTAATGGCAGGTGACTCTCCCAGTAATGGCAGTTGACTCCCAGTAATGTCAGGTGACTCTCCCAGTAATGTCAGGTGACTCCCAGTAATGGCAGGTGACTCTCCCAGTAATGGCAGGTGACTCTCAGTAATGTCAGGTGACTCTCCCAGTAATGTCAGGTGACTCCCAGTAATGTCAGGTGACTCCCAGTAATGGCAGTTGACTCCCAGTAATGTCAGGTGACTCTCCCAGTAATGTCAGGTGACTCCCAGTAATGTCAGGTGACTCCCAGTAATGGCAGGTGACTCTCAGTAATGTCAGGTGCCTCTCCCAGTAATGTCAGGTGACTCCCAGTAATGTCAGGTGACTCCCAGTAATGTCAGGTGACTCCCATTAATGGCAGGTGAATCCCAGTAATGTCAGGTGACTCTCCCAGTAATGTCAGGTGACTCTCAGTAATGTCAGGTGACTCTCAGTAATGTCAGGTGACTCCCAGTAATGTCAGGTGACTCCCAGTAATGTCAGGTGACTCTCAGTAATGTCAGGTGACTCTCAGTAATGTCAGGTGACTCCCAGTAATGTCAGGTGACTCCCAGTAATGTCAGGTGACTCTCAGTAATGTCAGGTGAATCCCAGTAATGGCAGGTGACTCCCAGTAATGGCAGGTGACTCCCAGTAATGTCAGGTGACTCCCAGTAATGGCAGGTGACTCTCCCAGTAATGTCAGGTGACTCTCAGTAATGTCAGGTGACTCTCAGTAATGTCAGGTGACTCCCAAAATTTGTCGGTGACTCCCAGTAATGGCAGGTGACTCTCAGTAATGTCAGGTGACTCTCAGTAATGTCAGGTGACTCCCAGTAATGTCAGGTGACTCCCAGTAATGTCAGGTGACTCCCAGTAATGTCAGGTGACTCTCAGTAATGTCAGGTGACTCCCAGTAATGTCAGGTGACTCCCAGTAATGGCAGGTGACTCTCAGTAATGTCAGGTGACTCTCAGTAATGTCAGGTGACTCCCAGTAATGTCAGGTGACTCCCAGTAATGTCAGGTGACTCCCAGTAATGTCAGGTGACTCTCAGTAATGTCAGGTGACTCCCAGTAATGGCAGGTGACTCCCAGTAATGTCAGGTGACTCCCAGTAATGGCAGGTGACTCCCAGTAATGTCAGGTGACCCTCCCGTAATGGCAGGTGACTCTCAGTAATGTCAGGTGACTATCAGTAATGTCAGGTGACCCCCAGTAATGGCGGGTGACTCCCAGTAATGTCAGGTGACTCCCAGTAAGGGGCGGGTGACTCCCATTTATGGCAGGTGACTCCCAGTAATGGCAGGTGACTCCCAGTAATGTCAGGTGACTCCCAGTAATGGCAGGTGACTCTCCAGTAATGTCAGGTGACTCCCAGTAATGGCAGGTGACTCCCGTAATGTCGGGTGACTCCCAGTAATGGCAGGTGACTCCCAGTAATGGCAGGTGACTCCCAGTAATGGCAGGTGACTCCCAGTAATGGCAGGTGACTCCCAGTAATGTCAGGTGCCCTCCCAGAAATGGCAGGTGACTCCCAGTAATGGCAGGTGACTCCCAGTAATGTCAGGTGACTCCCAGTAATGGCAGGTGACTCTCAGTAATGTCAGGTGACTCCCAGTAATGGCAGGTGACTCCCAGTAATGTCAGGTGACTCCCATAATGTCAGGTGATCCCAGTAATGGCAGGTGACTCTCAGTAATGTCAGGTGACTCCCAGTAATGGCAGGTGACTCCCAGTAATGTCAGGTGACTCCCAGTAATGGCAGGTGACTCCCAGTAATGGCAGGTGACTCCCAGTAATGTCAGGTGACTCCCAGTAATGGCAGGTGACTCTCAGTAATGTCAGGTGACTCCCAGTAATGGCAGGTGACTCCCAGTAATGGCAGGTGACTCCCAGTAATGTCAGGTGACTCCCAGTAATGGCGGGTTTGACTCCCAGTAATGGCAGGTGACTCCCAGTAATGGCAGGTGACTCCCAGTAATGTCAGGTGATTTCCCAGTAAATGGCAGGTGACTCCCAGTAATGGCAGGGACTCTCAGTAATGTCAGGTGACTCCCAGTAATGGCGGGTGACTCCCAGTAATGTCAGGTGACTCCCAGTAATGGCGGGTGACTCCCAGTAAGGCAGGTGACTCCCAGTAATGGCAGGTGACTCCCAGTAATGTCAGGTGGATTTCCCAGTAATGGCAGGTGATCCCAGTAATGGCAGGTGACTCTCAGTAATGTCGGGGTGACTCCCAGTAATGTCAGGTGATTTCCCAGTAATGGCAGGTGACTCCCAGTAATGTCAGGTGACTCCCAGTAATGGCAGGTGACTCCCAGTAATGGCAGGTGACTCCCAGTAATGTCAGGTGACTCCCAGTAATGGCAGGTGACTCCCAGTAATGGCAGGTGACTCCCAGTAATGTCAGGTGACTCCCAGTAATGGCAGGTGACTCCCAGTAATGGCAGGTGACTCCCAGTAATGTCAGGTGACTCCCAGTAAGGGCCCAGGTGACTCCCAGTAATGGCAGGTGACTCTCAGTAATGTCAGGTGACTCCCAGTAATGGCAGGTGACTCCCAGTAATGTCAGGTGACTCCCAGTAATGGCAGGTGACTCCCAGTAATGGCAGGTGACCCCCATTAATGTCAGGTGACTCCCAGTAATGGCAGGTGATCCCAGTAATGGCAGGTGAACTCTCAGTAATGTCAGGTGACTCCCAGTAATGTCAGGTGACTCCCAGTAATTCGGGTGACTCCCAGTAATGGCAGGTGACTCCCAGTAATGGCAGGTGACTCTCAGTAATGTCAGGTGACTCCCGTAATGGCAGGTGACTCCCAGTAATGTCAGGTGACTCCCAGTAATGGCAGGTGACTCCAGTAATGGCAGGGGGATCCCAGTAATGGCAGGTGACTCCCAGTAATGTCAGGTGACTCCCAGTAATGGCAGGTGACTCCCAGTAATGGCAGGTGACTCCAGTAATGTCAGGTGACTCCCAGTAATGTCAGGTGACCCCCAGTAATGGCAGGTGACTCCCAGTAATGTCAGGGGGACTCCCAGTAATGGCAGGTAAACTCCCAGAAAGGGCAGGTGACTCCCAGTAATGTCAGGTGACTCCCAGTAATGGCAGGTGACTCCCAGTAATGGCGGGTTTGACTCCCAGTAATGTCAGGTGACTCCCAGAAAATGGCAGGTGACTCCAGTAATGGCAGGTGACTCCCAGTAAGTCAGGTGACTCCCAGTAATGGCAGGTGACTCCCAGTAATGGCAGGTGACTCTCAGTAATGTCAGGTGACTCCCAGTAATGGCAGGTGACTCCCAGTAATGTCAGGTGACTCCCAGTAATGGCAGGTGACTCCCAGTAATGGCAGGTGACTCCCAGTAATGGCAGGTGACTCCCAGTAATGGCAGGTGACTCCCAGTAATGGCAGGTGACTCCCAGTAAGGGCAGGTGACTCCCATTAATGGCAGGTGACTCCCAGTAATGTCGGGTGACTCCCAGTAATGTCAGGTGACTCCCAGTAATGGCAGGTGATTTCCAGTAATGTCAGGTGACTCTCAGTAATGTCAGGTGACTCCCAGTAAGGGCAGGTGACTCCCAGTAATGGCAGGTGACTCCCAGTAATGGCAGGTGACTCCCAGTAATGGCAGGGGGACTCCCAGTAATGTCAGGTGACTCCCAGTAAGGGGCAGGTGACTCCCAGTAATGGCAGGTGACTCCCAGTAATGGCGGGGTGACTCCCAGTAATGTCAGGTGACTCCCAGTAATGGCAGGTGACTCCCAGTAATGGCAGGTGACTCCCAGTAATGGCAGGTGACTCCCAGTAATGGCAGGTGACTCCCAGAAATTTGGCAGGTGACTCCCAGTAATGGCAGGTGATTTCTCAGAAATGTCAGGTGACTCCAGTAATGGCAGGTGACTCCCAGTAATGGCAGGTGACTCCCAGTAATGGCAGGTGACTCCCAGTAATGGCAGGTGACTCCCAGTAATGGCAGGTGACTCCCAGTAATGGCAGGTGACTCCCAGTAAAGTCGCCCGTCACGTGATGCTCAAAATGTTCTGTTACACATCTTTTTCTTTTTTTGTAAGTTGTTTCTACACAAAATATTTCCACAAAAATATATATGAAGCATTGTAGGATAACTTGTAACAGTTTGGTGCAGCACTTGTTGCTAAGACTTGACAGTTAATACCAGTTTACTGCTTGTTTAGTGCTGCCCTCTATTGTGTCTCGCACATCAGTCTCTCCTGGCTCTTATCGTCACCATTTCGCCACTTATTGACACCCTTTCTTTTTCTTCCTCCTCCTCCTCCTCTTCTTCTTCTTCTTCTTTTTTTCTTCTTTCTTCTTTTCTTCTTCTCTTCTTCTTCTTCTTCTCTCCTTCTTCTTCTTCTTCTTCTTCTTCTTCTTCTTCTTCTTCTTCTTCTTCTTCTTCTTCTTCTTCTTCTTCTTCTTCTTCTTCTTCTTCTTTTCTTCCTCTTTCTGTTTTTTATATCGTCTTTATTCTTCCTTCTTGCTTCTCAGTCCCACATATCCCTTTAACCCCCACTTTTCCCCCTCAATTCCATTTGTCATACAGGTCAGTAATTACATGTGAATCATGGAGAGTAGAGGAGGGAGAGAGCGCCACTGACCACAACTTGGGTAATCATCGATTCAATCTTCACAACTCAGTCCTTATAATTTTTTGTTTTTGCAACCAGAAGTTTAAGACAGTAATTTGCAAATATATAGCATAGTCTAATAAACGTGGAAACAATAAAGCAACAATTAAAATGACCACTGAATCTTTCGGTTTCAGGCTGAGTGCTTCTTCGGTGTGATACCAATATTTTCAGCATTGATATGTTATTATGTATTCCTCACGTGAATGCGTGATAATGACCTAAGTATTGTTTACACCTGATCTACAAGCTGGAGATAAGCCTTCAGATTATATTTCCATCCGTAGTGGTTTATCAAGTCGTGACCTGATAACCCAGACGGACCGAAACCTTGTCTAAAGATTTATTTTTAATTTGTGGATTAGTTGTGAATTATTGAAGTCACAGTAATGTAGCTTCCATAGGTTAGTTGTGAAATGTTCCAGCCATAATATTGTGACTTTTATTCTATATAGTGATCTCTAAGACTGAGACTTGACAGGTTTTCCATTGTGAACCTGACGAAGGGAGACAGTCTATACAACCACGGGATGCGGCCGCTCATGTACTCGTGCAGGGAGGCGGCGCAGCACGGGGTCGGCTGGAGGCGCTGTGCCACCAACATTATCTACTTCAAGAACCATGACAGGTGAGCAACACAGACATTGTTCTTACTGTTACAATAACCAGGGGCAGCACAAGGTGTAAGCAGACTTCTCTTTATTCGTCGCCCTACCCGGGAATCGAATCCCAGTCCTTTCGCATGCAAGCCGAATGCTTAATCAATGAACTGCTTTGTTGTTCTGATTAGTAAGTCACGGATAAAGAGACACAGATGCAGTATAATGCGATCCTTTCTCTCGCCCACTGTGTGGGCGAAACGTCGTGAACAAAGGTCGCATTTTGTGTCTCCATCGATATTAAAATTGAGGTTTGATTATTTCAGCAGTGACAACACTTGTTACGACAGTGATGATGATGGTGAAGATGACGCCCCCTCCTACACCCTCACCTTCAACATCACCTTCCCTCATGACCACGACACAGTGTACATCGCTCACTGCTACCCTTACAGCTACTCTGATCTGCAGGAACACCTCCTCTCCATCCAGGTGAGTGTCAGTGCCACAAGCCTGCCTTCCTGCCCTGGTAGCGCCAGTACCACAAGCCTACTTTCCTGCCCTTGCAGTGCCAGTACCACAAACCTACTTTCCTGCCCTAGCAGTGCCAGTACCACAAACCTACTTTCCTGCCCTGGCAGTGCCAGTACCACAAGCCTGCCTTCCTGTCCACACGCAATTCTAAGCCTCCAAGTCAAAATATTGTGGTCCTTGAACAAGCATTCACTCCCTCACAAAACCATCCTACTATCACGGTTCCTCCATCACTGCCTGAACGATCCTTACATTCGTGGTGATGTAGCACTTGTGTGTACCAATACTGAGTGTTCAGTCACCTGGCTAATGTTCATTCTCATTACTCTTTATATTATTTCACTTAGTACATCGTAGAACATGGCGCGTAAGAATGAAAAATGGGAGTCAGACCCTATGAGATTAAACCATCAGAATTGAAAATATCCACCAAGGATTAGCTTTAGTCTAGTTACCCCCTTTTCATCTGGTGTGCATTACAATAGTATTATACACTGGTATACCTCTTTGTGTATGCCAGTGTTGAGAGCTGAGATTAGAACATTATCCATTAACAACTGGGTATTTGGGTGCACAGAGGCAATGGGACAAGATTTGGCACTCAGATCAGAGAAACAGTTGTTAAAATGCCTCATCTCCGTCATGCGTCTTGCAGAACGACCCCTTCAAGTCTAGTGTATGTCGGCAGCGTGTGTTGTGTCGGTCTGTGGCTGGGAACCCTGTCTATCTTCTCACCATCACTAGTCCAGAACCAGAGGAAGACGGCAAGGTCAGTACACTCTTCTACATATACACTCTACCACATGTACACTCTAAAACATGTAAAGTACACTCTACCACATGTATAGTACACTTTACCACATGTACAGCATGGCCGTGGCGTTTCTCAGATTCTCAAGAATCCGCAATAGACCCGAACTCCGAATGGTCGGTTGTAACTGTTCAATTACGGTGCTGTAAGAATCTTAGTCATGGTTCAGTGTTAATACATTTAATTAGGAATTGAGAGTTCAAGCAAGACTAAATGGGATACTTCCTGAACTCCTGTGAACATTGATCACATAGCCATATCACTGCTGCTTCTTCTGTCCACTCAGAGCAGTATTAATTCTTTTACAGTACATTGGTTGATCTTACTGGAGAGTTCAACTTACATCAGATTGTGTGTTTTAATAATATTGCTAGAATTACAGACAGTAAGTTCTGATTACTATACATGGTTCAGATTACCAATGTTTTACCAATATATATATTACCAATATATTACAAATGTATAAATTCTTATTACCATAATAACGTACTCGCTTTTAATATGGACTTTTAGATCATAAATTTTATTTTTTAGCTGTGACTCACTTGTTCCTGTCTAGTTTTAAGCTTGTGCATGCTGGACACTCTAGCGCGTACATCTCAGTACCTCCTCCATACTCTACTTCCATCTCTCGCCTGTATTTTTACGTCTAGATCATACTGAAGCGTGGTGCTGCAGTTGCAGGGATGCCTCCTGGCTCTCCCTGCTCCGAGCCCACACGGCATCTTGTTTACACGATTTGCATCAAAGATAATGCCAAACCCTTGAGTGAGAGACGTACTACATATAAATATCAAGCTTGCATATTGACAACGTTTTAGCTTTGTGAAGAACTTTATCAAGTCACGAAGTAGAACGATGTCACATATAAGTTTGTTTGATAGATGAATGTTAATACATCATCGTAAAATGACGCTTTTGCATCCAAACAACTGTATATATTGTGACACAGATACTAGTTGTAGTAGTAGGAGAGTTCTTTACTGTTAAAACGTGTCACCATTGGGCTTTCTAGAGTACCAATGAAGAACTTCACTGCTGATAGTGTCTTATGCACTTGTTCTACGCCTCCAGTTAGCATCAATTTATATTGTGTTGTTTTGTTGCTTGACTTTCACAGAAGAAGCGAGCGGTGGTGCTGACGGGTCGGGTCCACCCGGGAGAGACACCTTCCTCGTGGATCATGAAGGGGGTCCTTGAGTTCCTCACTGCTGACAACCCCAAAGCTCATGCAAGTAATCGGTATTCAACCCACACTGTCAACACCAATGCTCATGTAAATCACCAGTACACTACCCACACTGTCAACACCAGTGCTCATGTAAATCACCAGTACACAACTCACACTTATCATTGCTGGTGTACACACACAGAGTACCGTTTTAATTTTTCCACGATTGCTTGTTTCACAGACTCTCTGGCCACACCTCGTCACTACCCTCATCCACATCTTCCTGTCTAGAAACGACATTGATTAAAAATGCTTACAGATATATTAGAGATAAATTAAGGGATGCCGCTGAAAGTAACTGTCCACTGTATCATCACCAGGAAGAGTGACTGTAGTCTGTTGTTGCAGGAGCTGCGAAGTCAGTTCATCTTTAAGGTGATCCCCATGTTGAACCCTGACGGTGTGATCGTGGGCAACCACCGCTGCTCTTTGGTGGGACGGGACCTCAACAGACAGTACAAGATGGTTGTGAAGGAGATGTTTCCAGCCATCTGGCACACCAAGGCCATGGTCAGGAGGTCAGACGCACACGCGTACACACACACACACACACACACACACACACACACACACACACACACACACACACACACACACACACACACACACACACACACACACACACACACATGCACACATTCACACGTATACACATACATACGTATAAAAACACACACATATACATACACAAACACGTAGACACATGAAAACACATACATACACCCTCACAAACACAATTTATCAGCCACGGATACGATACATTTTTTAGTAAAACAAAACGTTTTCAACGGTTCATTAAAATTATATTATTACAAAAATTATTTCAATAAAGTCCACTTTACATATGTTGTTAATGTTATGTTAAATTTAAATATACTTTTTTATCATGAGTAAATTTACATGTGAATATTTTGATTAGAGTCGAATTTTTGTTTTTACCTCACTGGTTGTTTCTTACCAGGTCACGGTGACCCAAAGTAGAAAACTCATTCACCATCATTCATTCAATCGCTTTCTTGCTATAAGTGTACTGACATCACAGTTCAGATTACCTCTCCGACTGCATCATTCACACTTATCCTTCAGAGTGTAGCCACTGTACTTTCCACCTCCAGAACTGTAACAGCCCCACCCCTTTTCATTATTATTATTATTATTATTATTATTATTATTATTATTATTATTATTATTATTATTATATTATTTAGTTCGTGACTGAATGAGGTGGTAACCTTGTGTATCCTGGTGGCAGGTTGATGGATGAACACGGTGTGGTGATGTACGGAGACTTCCACGCACACTCACGCAAGCACAACATCTTCCTGTACGGCTGTGAGAATCGTCGCAACCAGGACAACCACCTGAGGGAACAGATCTTCCCGCTCCTCCTCCACTACAACGGAGGTGACAAGGTATAACGCAGGTGACAAGGTAACGCAAGTGACAAGGTAGCGCAGGTGACAAGGTAAAACAGGTGACGAGGTAATTAAGGAGACGAGATAATGCAGGTAAATACGTTTAAGTTAGTCTAGGCAGGTACACATCATCTGGGTAAGGTTTTACAAGTATAGTGATTGTTATTTACGCAGTGTGCGTCATGTGGGTTGGAATATCATGAACGCTGTGTAAATCCTTCCCTAACACCCCCGTCAACACGCTGTTACACCACCAATCTCTGTATATTGTCCTCTAACAGTCGAATAGAGAGGTGACTTAAATACTGGAGACAGTGGAAGCAGTGGAGAAGGAAGTATGATGTGTTTCGACAGTATCATGTATCTTACTCAACTACTTGTCGCTATTGTGTACCATCAATATAATAACATGTCTTACAGAATATCGATGGCATGATCTTCAGAATCATTCTTTAACAAAACTGGATGCATGAGTAATATGCTGCTCCCCTGTTCTGTGTGATAATGTTACAGTGGGAATAAACACTATATTTCCCTTGTCATATTCCCTATTCTATGTGATAGCTTCACAGTGGGATCAAACACTATGTTTCCCTTGTCATATTCCCTATTCTGTGTAATAGCTTCACAGTGGGATCAAACACTATGTTTGCCCCTGTCATATTCCATCACACAGGATGAGGAAGGTACATACTGAGTATTGAAATCTGTCAGCCTGAGCTAGGAGACTTCAGCAGGGCGGTGAGGATATATCAAGTAGTTCGTAACAAGAGTAGCAGACCATAACTCTCCGGTGTTTGGTCTCCACAGTTCAGTTTCCGGAGTTGCAAGTTCAAAGTCCATCGATGCAAGGAAGGCACAGCCAGGGTGGTGGTGTGGATGATGGGAGTCCTCCACTCCTACACCATGGAGGCATCCTTCGGCGGGGTCTCCGAGGGCCCAAGAGCTGGAACACACTACAATATCCACGACTTTCTTTCCATGGGACGACAGTTTTGTGAGACGCTCTTCGAGTATTTTGATCCACAACCCATCAAGGTAATAAACCACGAGAGTATAATGAACACTGATCACTGCAACCAACCAACCAACCAACCAACCAACCAACCAACCAACCCAACCAACCAACTAACTAAGCAACCAAATAACATATAGACACTACAATGCATACTAAAATTAATACTGTCATCTGAAAAGGGGCATCACACTGAGTCCCTTTTCAATCTGCTTATGAGGGTGCTTACCTAGTTATGATTACGGGGGTCGAGGCTCATTTCCTGGCCCCTTGAGCTTCTCGAGCACTCAGTCCAACTAGTGTGTATTGTCTACATGTGTGTTGTTTGTTCTGTCAGTCACTGAGTGTATTTAATGTTATTTTTATAGTTTTAGTGAACAATTCTTACTTCACTTTAGTAATGTATAAAATAAATTAACATTTTCTAGTCGCTTCTACTTAGTCATTACAACTATTTTTGGTCAATATTTACTCTAGCTGATAGGAAATATGAGTCACTATGTAAATTCTCCAACAATAAATGGCTTATGCATTGGTAATGTTTATATTTTATGCCTGATGAGCAGAAAACCTTTTTTGGTGACCACCAAAAACAGATTGCAACCAAATCTCACCTAACCTTGATTTTGAGTTCATTGCTAGGTTACATTACACATATAACCCGCACATAGGAGAAAAGAGTTTGTTCATGTATTGTTCCAGTCACGGTATTGTGCCTCTTTTTTTTCTTTGTTCTTTAATGCTAGGTTAGGTTCGGCTGGATTACTTTTTTTTTATTATCCCAAAAAAAAAACTTTTTTCTCCCCAAAGGCCAAAATATTACTGTCTCCATTGCATTTACTTAATAAATAACCGAACAGCCAGAGTAAATTTTGATAATAACCTCCTCGATAAAAAAAAATAAAACTTTTTTTTTAGCATTTTGTCCACAAAAAAAGATGTTTTTGTCTAACTCAGCCGAACATCTCAAGTTAATATTTTCTCTACTTTTTAGGCTGTGTTTTTTTTTTATCTGAGATGGAAATCTTTGATGATATATTGATTTTTTACAAGGTCTCATATATAATTTATTTTTCCAACTGCCATCTTGGAAATATAATTGACGGTAAGTTATACAAAACTCATATTAGGCTGTTGTTGACTGTAGTGATGCAGACGCTGACTTCACTGATTAATTAATGGCTTTCATCATTTTGGTCGTGTTGGCATGAAGATGCAACGGAAAGAACGGATCTTTAATAAGACAATGTTCAGCTCATGGTAGGGCTTTACCAGGCTGCGAATGACTTAAAAATTTTCTTCCGGTGAAAATATATTCGACATTTTGTGTTGTCACACTCACACTTCAGAGTCCGCCTTCTCAACTATTATGGCCCTGTTTACACTGGAAGCTGAATATATTGCCCAATTATAGACACAATGACTCAGATTATTTATATATTTTATAATTACCATTTACATATTGATAAAATATGAGGGACTCATTATTACCGTCTTGACAGATACAAGGAGAAGCTGAGAAATAAACTGTGGTCAAGGCTTATCAAAAAGGGCTCTAACGCTGATGAACCAGCCTCCATTGACTTCAGGTGGGTACTGTATTCGTTGTGTTGTATTGTATTTCATAAACCAGCCTCCATTGACTTTGTGTTGTGTGTTGCATTAAGAGTAGGAACTACTGAAAGTTTCAGCCCACGTCCATTAATTACTGTATCAATATTTTCTTAAGCCTAGTGAAGTATTCGCACATTCCTGCCAATACCTCACACAAAGGTGAAATAGAATTGTGACAGGTGTTACATTCACTTCAGTTATTGTTACTTTATATGTCCCTCATGTAATAGTAAAACAAATTCTGATTACAACGATTATATTTTAACATTTGTCCTCCCCGGGGACACCATACCCGGGTATGGAGACTATTTCTGGAAAGTTAAACCTTTCTCGGGTTAATGCATCCTACTGTATATGTTTACTCCCACATAATAGGGTCTGCGTGGCTGTGTTATGAATGTACAATACCAGAACTCCTAATAGGACTGTTTTAGTAACCTGACCCAAAGCACTTTTTTGTTTCATTTGTGATTTCATAGCGTTCCAGAACGGAGCGAAACGTAGTCCAGTTTCAATTTCCAGTTAATGAGTTGTGAATTGCTCCGGGCAGGGCACTGTGACTTTCATTTATATAGCCAGGGGGTATTTTATGTGGTAAAGGAATGTCATGCTTCAATTAGAGCAGCAGTCCCTGGCGGCCCTCCCCAGGATGTTAGATCCTTGAAAACTAGTAATTCTTGATGGGGCTAACGTTGTAATGTTATTGTTGTGCACAGCGAGAGCAACTCGAGCAGCGGGGACTCTGATAGACAGGCAACACCAGTTAGGCTGAGGAAGAAGAAAGTGTTGAGAAACACCAAGAAGAAGACAGGAACGGGAGGAAGGAGCAGTGTAGCGCAGGTGGTGGAGAAGGTCACGTCACAGATGAGGATGGTAAGACTCACCACAAGTTTTGTCTAACACACTGCACCAAGTTAATTCATAGTAATGTGAAGACACTGAAGGGGTCACGGGTAGTGTGGTGGAGGTCCCGGCAAGACAACTCAGTTTGCCAATACAGAAGTCTAATAAACACTGATAAGTTTAACAAACAAACGAACGTGAAGGCATAATACGGAAGATAAGAGGAATGCTCCATATTTCGGCATCACACTGAGGCTCTCATCATCATTCTATTAAAGAGAGACTCAGTGTGAGAACCATATATACAGTGCTTTGATTATCTTCTGTTTTACTTTCTCCGTGTGGCTTCGTTTGTACAATTATTCAGTTTGTTGAAGGAAAAAAATTTGGCTGATTTTTGTCTGGTTAAGAAGATATTATCATATAACGTTATGTGTCAAGACACACACACACACACACACACACACATACACACACACACACACACACACCAGTGACCAGTGTGTCTGCATGTGTGTAGGTACTTAAACAACATACACACATACAAACATACAGAAACACAGACTTTAGTAACATGGGAGTTATCTTTGACGTGAAGTATGTAATTATATTCCATAAGAGTATTTTGTATTTGTTGTACATATTACACACATGTTTAAATAAGACGTGTCACGATGTCTCACGCGCTGTGACCCTGATTCTGAAGGTCTCCCACTCACTCTTCCTAAACAAAATGTTGTTTTCAGGACAAGTGTGAGAGGCGGAGCAAGACTCTCCATCACAGTCGATCAGGGTCGTCAGGGTCGCCAGTGACCACCTGCAGGGAGCCCTCTCTGGGCGAGCGGGTCAGTGGAAGACAGTGTGGTGAAGCTGCCTCGGGAGATTCTCCATTCCATGACTCAGCCTTCAGAGCTCCGTCAGACGCCAAACCATGCCTTAAAAAATTACTGGAGAGATCGCCAGCCTCTAGCAGCACACTTGACCTCAGCTCAGGACGCACCAGCCTTAGACCAACCCAGTACAAGCTTGAGGAAGCTTTGCCCACCCCTTGTTCCGCCCCCCCTCTCCGTAGGTCCAGCCACAGCCTCATCCGCCCCCCACTTCACCCCTGCTCAGCCTCCAGGGAGAGGTGCCCCTCGCCTGCCCTGCCAGAGAGACCCTCCACTGGCTCTGTGAACGAGACCTCAGCACACAGACTCTACAGCAACAACAACAGACACAGGGATGCCAGTCATAGTGTACGTCTGCCAGCCACTGTGTCAAGTTGTTCTGATTTATCTCACCTGCCTCTCATTGTAGTAGCACTCGACTTCACCCCCTCCCTCTCTGTCCATCACAGTAATGCTTTATTCACTCTCAGATTACTATACTGCTTCCTCCACACTCACATCTACCTCTTCTCTCATCTTATTTCTCACTATCCTATGCATGAAATCATTGCCTCCCGTTTATCATTTGTTCAAAAACTCAAATATTTTCTCCGTCTCTACATTATCTTCACCTTCCAATCCAATTTTTCACAACTTACAATCCTACCTGCCAAGTCAATTAGCTACAGAGGCTTTTTCGCATATAAATCTTTTTCCATAGTTATTTCTTATTCTCAGGAAAATTTGGTGATAAAGACTCACCCAAATCTCTTATTTGGTCACCTTCTGCACTTCCTTACTACACTTTTCCGTTCTTTCTTTTTTCAAAATTACTTTCTCTTTTCGTGGGGAAACGTTTCATTTTTCCCCAGATCTTCCCCTTTAATCTTTCCATCAATCTTTTCCCCAAACCCAACACCATTTTCTTAAAGAAAAGCCCCCTTTTAAAACGCTCTTTCAAACACTCTAACGCTCACTCAAAACATTTTAACGCCACTCAAACCAGTGAAATTTTTAAATTTCCCCCAAAATATCCCCTTTTTGCCTGCTCACCCACTTTCTTTCTACCCCCTCATTTCTTCCAACCCCCTCTCACTTTCCCTTCTTTTTTTCATTCCCCTTTTCCCTTTTCCTTTTTTAATCTTTTTACCCCTTCCCCTCCGTACCCCCATTTTTCCTTATTTGCATTTTCCCACTGAAAAAAAAACGCAAAATTTTTTTCCCTTTAACATTTTACCCCTTAAAAGCTTTGCCCCAACAGCGATCACAAAATTTTATAAAATATTTTTATAAATATAAATATTATTTAAGATAATATATATATATATATATATATATTTTTATAATATATATTTTATAATATTTTATAAAAATATTTATATTATACTCGGGGAGGGAAATCAAGTAGGGGTAGTACCTTTTTTACTTTTATGTAGGGGTTTGGAGGTTACCTTGGGGGTTTTAATTGGGGGTGTTTCGGTGTGGGGACCATTGATGCGCTTTCCAAGCCCTCCCCACGCACCCCCAAAAAACCACCAAAACACACACACACAAAACCACCACACACACACACAAAAAAAAAGTGCTGGCCAGACACTATTGATCAAAAAATTTCCCGGAACAAGGTGAGAGAGAAACTCATTTGGCGGAAGTCAAGTAAAGCTGATGACTGACTGAAAGCTTGTACACCGTAGTTTGTATAACTAGAAAGGCCCCATCTGGTTATAAAAGTTATGTAGTCTCAGTACATGTTTAAGTTCCCGGGGGGCCCCCATTTTATTTAATTTAAAATTTTTTAAATCGTAAAAAATGGGTATTCATTTCCCTGATTAGTTGTTTAGCAAAAACACTGGCGAAAAAAAAAGGTATTTTTTTTGAAGAAAACGCTTCGCCAAAACCAGGCTTCATCAGTCGGGCGGGAGCTGATTACAATACTGGAAAAGTAGAGAGGTGATTCTAAAGGGGATTGTTGGGGGACGGGTAATTATGACTTTCTACTAGACCCGAAAAAAGCCTTCCCGTTTAAGGCGAAAAGGGTTTTGGGCAAATATGGATAACCTTTAGTAATTTTTCCTTTGCTTAAATTATGAAAAAACTTTTTGTTTCGACGGTACAACTATCGTTGTTAAAACAGTAGCAAAACAAAAAAACATTAAAAGATTAAATTTTTAAAAGGGAAAATATTTCACCCTGTGAAGATTTTTATCAAATCTTTTCCTAAAAAAGTTCCACACAGAGCGAAACGTTGGACCAATAAAAGTTTGTCCGTATGGCCCTTTTTACAAGAGGTCAATTTTCACGATCGGACAATATCAGTTTGCTGTTTCTGACTCACGAAATCGTATGACAAATTGCAAACGCGCTGGCCGGGAAATTTTTTACGACTCCTTGCCGTAAGTTCAACTACCTAACTGTTGCACATGTGTCTTACTGATCTCCGGGAGTTTCTGTAAGCTCTGCCGCCATAGATCTTGATGGCAAAGGACGGGGGAACCCAGTAATCCCTGAAATGAATGGCCCCCGGGGTTTTAGGCTTCAAGACAAACGCTGACCATTGTAGGGGTGCGGTTTAATTTCCTAAACGTTTTGCCTACCAGTAAACTTCTTCAGCGAATATACAAAAGGCAGCAAAAGCAACAGAGATGTAAAGACCAGATCATCTTTTTTTATCGGTACTTTACTAGGTTTTTACCTCTTGTGGGTGATTCGTGGCAACAGGAAACTTTACCTCAGTAGAATGAACCTCTTCGGGGGGGCCCCTTTGGCGTGGTAAAGGCTTTTGGGTCGAGGAATTCCCCCTGTGGGTTTCTTCCTCAACCGAACCTAATTACCCCCCTTTCCCCCCCCCCCCTTTTCCCAAATCCTCCCCATCCTCCCCTTTTTTCCATTTCCCCCTCCTCCTCCCACCCCTCCCTTTTGCCCTCCTCTTTTTACCTTCGTGATTTCTCCCCAAAAAGGGCGCTAGTTCCTGGGTAGGGGAAAGGACCCGGGGTGATCCCATTCCTTTGAGGTTTTTTGGCGGTGGCGATTTTTGCCGTGGAATCGGGATTGCGGGGAGCCCCGATCCCTCCCCGGGTTTCCCCGGAGTAGTTTTGGGGTGTCTTTTGGGCGCGGGTGTACTCGGAAGCCCCCTTTTTTCGGTTTCCGGGGGGGGGTGCTGAAGGGGTTTAGCTTTGGGGCGGATACCCGGCCGCCCCCTTTTTCCACCGAGGTAGCCGGCAGATTGGGGTTTCTACCCCGGGATTGCGGGTTTAGGGCAAAAAAGGGTGGTATGGACGGGTTCCATGCGATCTGCCTACTAGGGGTGTCGAGCCCCGGGGCGCGGAGGGAGATTTCCGGCCCTTTCATTCCCCCTGGGAACTTTTCCTCCCCGCCCCCCCCTTTTTTTTATTCTTTTTTTTGTTTTTTTTTTTTCTTTTTTTCTTTCTTTTTTTTCTTAAAAAAAAAAAGAAAAAGGATAACCTAACCAGGGGCAGCCCTAGTCCATAAAAACCACTCCCCCCCGGGCCCCTTCTTGATCCCGCACCCCATTCTGACCCTGCCTTTGTGTTTGACCACTTTTCGGACCCCCTGATGCCCCGTACCTCTTGCTGTGTGTTTCCTCCCCCGCTCAGTACCGGGGGCTTTGACGACTCCTTCGATTTGTCTGAACTCCGCTCTCCTTTACAGCCCCGCTTCTCCCTTACGGTGGGAAATTTTCGAATCCCCCCACCCATTTCATGCCGGACCAACCCGGTCCATCCTAAACCCCAACGCAATCTCCTGATGATGCCCTCTTCCCTTCCCCCATTCTACTCGGAAACGAGACACGTCAAGAAAACCTCCCTCTCCACGCTCAGTTTGGCCCACAAATGGACTAAAATTTTTTACAAAGCAACTTCTTCTTCTCCTACCTTTTGCCATAGTTTTCCCAAAAGCCTCCTGCCAGTTGGGCAGAGATTTTTTTATTTCACGCCCCTCAAGGCGGACGCGCACGTCACTGTCCAATGCAACCAACCATGATCTTTCCTCCTTTCGAATATCGATATATCCTTCACTATTGAAAAAACATCTTTCTCTAAATTCTTGTAGTGGTACTGTATTCTGCCCCATACCATATCCAACAGAATTTCCATCATTGGCAATGACATTTTTAAACAGCTGGAACCCCAGGATCTTCCCAATCCTCAAGAGACACTTAGTCCTTCCTGCCCGGGGGCGGAGCGTTACCCTTGCAAGGGGCTTTTTTAACTTTTGACAGCCGAGAACTCCCCCCCTCTGTATATGTAGCGGGACATCTTTTACAAGTTCAAAAGGGGTATCCCTACACCGCAACAATGTAAATTTTGCTGGCTTTTTGGGTCACCCAGTGAAAATTGCAGACTATGCCGGCCCAGCTGTGGTCCCAAAACCCATTCAAATAACTTGCAGTCCCCTCCATCTTCCCTTTAAATTTGAAAAGAATCACCCTTCGACTCCCCCCGTTCCCAGGTTATTTAAATTAATTAAATCCGTCCCTAAAAGGCAGAAGGTCTCCCTTATGCTATGGCGTTACTCATCTCCGCCCCCAAAGGGGAGACTCCCCCCCGTTTTTCCCCTTATTCCGTGTTTCCAAAACACCCCCCACTTCGGGGGTCCCATCTTCTCAGCCTCCCTGTTGTTACCCCCTCCCATACCTTTACGGCATCTAATCCTTTTGCTGCCTTTGGGCTCTGAGTCCCGACAAAACTAGTCTTTTCTCCATTTTTCGCGTCCTTCCTCACAACCCCCAGTATCGACAAGACCTCGTACGACCCCTAATACCAATCCCTCTACTCAAAGTCCAAAAAAAATACATTGCTAAATCTTCTTTGCCCCTTCCTTCCCTTTTTCCCACCCCCACACGTTACCTTTTTCAGTCTCGTACCCTTTTCTTCCCCTCTCTCTGGCTCTATTACAAGTGTGGGATTCCCCTCCTCCCACTATTCTTCCCCCCCCGTCCCCTCCCGTTTCTCCCTTTCGTCACCCCCCCGGGTTTCTACCTTTCTGTCCCCCCCCCATTCATCTCCAGTCCTTAACTTTTCCCCCCCCCTCTATTTGGACAGCCCATTAGCCCCAAATCTTTACTCACCCTCCTCCCCCTATCTCCAATATGGTTCCCCTTTTTAAATTTCGAAACCTTGAAGCCTTTTTAAAAATATTGCAGAACAAAACCCTTCAAGGGACACTGATTCACTTCCTGTTCCTTTTTTTCCCTCCCCCCATCTTCACAACCCCTTCTTCGCAACGCCCTTTCCTTCCTACTTGAACATTTTCCAAATGCCACCCCCCTTTTTGTTTTTCTAACCCCTCTAGTCCGTAGGTCCCTTTCCCCTACGATTCCTGATTTTCCTTCTCGCCAATCAGGCCTT